TGGCTCATCGACGTAAACCATCACGTGAAATTGGATATTGTACAGTTAAAGGTTCTGTCTGATGATCAAACAGCCTTAAATAAGCTTTTCAAAGTAGTGGATGTAGAGTAAACTTTCAGTGCTTCACTAGTCTTGAATACGGATCTCATACATATAGTAGAATTCAAAAATGAGATTTTCCAAAGACACAGACGAACCTATCTGTTGTTTTATTTGCGTTCAAACTTTATACTAATCAGTAATTTGAATTCGTCTGGACAGTATAGAATTCCCACCACTGATAAGCTGCTTTATAAATAATAAAAGTAAACTCAGGATGAGAACAAATAAAAAATAGAAAAATGGAGTAAGGTAGACTAGAAACACTTGAACTAAGTAGGTGATAATTTTCTTTTGAGTTAGTAGTCAATCTCAGCTAGCGAGTAAACTTTTTTATAATTCTTCATTGGTATTATATATGAAAGTCATATTTGAAATAATCTCAGCGATTGAAATTTAAATAATTCCAACGTTTCATCCAGCTAACTTGTCTGGACTTCAGGGTAATAATCAAAATCATCAATGAAATATGCAGCTTTTAACAATCATAACTATACTGTGTTAAACCAATCAAATTTGGATGTTGATTTTTGTAAAATAGGATAAAATGAGTCAGTTAACTACAATTCATGTGAAATAATTCAGCTACATGGAAATAATTAACTGTAACAACATCAAATTTTACGTATGTGAGATTAATTATTGGTATTCTGTGTTAATATGTTATGTATGAAGGGATAAGTAAAGAAATAAAAGTGCAAGGCTGGGATACTGCCTAGGTTACCAGATCAAAGCCACAAGGCACTAGGAGGACGTCAGGCGAAAAATCCCATGACAGCCGTGCCCAAGGATAGGTTTATATGACATTCGTTCCCTCGGGATTTTGGAGCCCATACACACCATTAGTTTGAAGTCAGGGTTTTCCAACTCTTTTTTGTGGATTTTCCATATCCATTAACCAGGTTATAAAGCAGAGAATTTACTTTTCCTCCTGTCTCCGTAATTAACACTGCATCGAGAATGCAGTAGTTATAAGAAGACGAAGATTATCAGAACTATGTGGTATATCAGCGCAGTACATTCTTAACAATCTGATCACACATATGATGAACATTTATATATATAAAAATAAAAGGTCAACTAGACTGGAAATCTTGGTAATATTGGCTTATTATCCAGAGTGGTTACGTTTCAAATTGTGTTCACATTATTATTATTATTATTATTATTATTATTATTATTATTATTATTATTATTATTATTATTATTATCCTTGTCTCCACCTACTCCCATTTCCAATCTAGTTGACCTTTTATTTTTATATGTAAGTGTTCTTAACAAGTATATGTGCGGTCAGACTGTTCGAAATGTATTGCGCTAATATATCACATAATTCTAATAATCTTATTTGACAGATAATTCCCATTTAAACATTAAAATTAAAACACGAAGTTCAGCGAATGGATCTCTTGAAAAGAAATCCCTTCGCTGAACTTCGTGTTTTAATCTTCTTATTACATTATCGAAATTTATCATAGGGACTAATTTCCTTAAATGCAGTGGTTGCAAACTTACTCAAATAGCTTCTACCAATGTGTACAAAGGATGTACAATTTTAATGTAATAATACTGTATATCGCTATGGGGAGCCCGTTAGACCCGATATATATATATATATATATATATATATATATATATATATATATATATGTTTAAATTAAAACTAAGGTGAAAACAATAAGTAATGAAGCAGTTATGTGTGTCAGGTATGTTGATGACACATTTGTTGCTTGCAGAAGTCGCAAATATCCTGTCAGTGTGCTGAATCTGTTTAATATAATGCACACTCGAATATACGTTTTACAATGGAGCATGAGCGTAGTGATAAAGTTTTATTTTTTTAAACCTTGGTATCCAACAATGAAAATGATGGATTCATCGAAAGGATATCTGAGGGGGGACTTCATTGAAATTCAAATAGCCTCTTTCCTATAAATGACAAACCAGCTTAGGTTAGAATTTTCTTTAATCCAGTACAAAAATTGTGTTCTGAGGACAAGATTGGAAAGGAATCAATCTTTTTTAAATGAAATCTGAAGAATAATGATAATCCACAAAGATTTTTCAGTAAAAATGGGAAGATAAGAACAAAAGTAATAGTGTCCTACAGTGAAGAAAAAAAACTTCATACAACTTGGCTTCAAAGGGGACGAAATATCTAGCAAGATTGGTTCTAGAGCAACATCTGCATCGAAAAAAAACTTATTCGACCTCAAAAGTTGTCTTAATATATCAAATAAATTCCTCACAAAGACATTTAAAATGGACATATTCTCTTCACATTACATCTAGTTATGTATACTGGTTTACATTTACGTGTCAAAACACATACATCGGAAGGATGAAAACGAGTGTTAATTTCCGCATCTTTTGATCTATTCTTCAAAAGTTTAGAATAAGAGGTTAATATGTCTTTAACGGTTCAATCACCCGTCATTTACTTGTTAGTGAATATGACGTTGTGGTTTCAAAATCGTCCTCAATCATTGGTAAACAAGGAACTTTGAATATACTACGTTTTTTCGTACCCATTTCTATCGAAAGGTTTAAACCATAATTGTGGATTCAAAAAAATACTGTTGTCAACTTTACTTTGTTCTGGTGGCCCATTTTCAATGTCTAGTTTCGTAATGACTTTTTTTAACAGTTAAAGATTAATTTTTTCAAACTTAAGTTTTATCTGAGTTTCATTAACCAAAATATCATAATCAATCCTTTGTGTTTTCACTACGCAGTTTTTGATGTAAACTCTTCTATTAACCTATCTTCATGTACTTTATGAGAGATCGCAGACTGACAGAACTTGGACATGCACACTATTGGATCCGGTTCAGTGGTCTGATTATTAAGTGTCCCCCTACGATACCAGAGGTCTTGGGTTAGATTCCCTGGGGTTGAAATCACTAGTAGATGTCACTGCTGTTTCCACAGCTGCTTGTATGTCTTTCCAATCAACATCGGGATCAGCCTCGTTTTCAGAACTACTTAAGTGTGACCTCAGTTGTTCCTGGAACCTACTTTTGGTTTTCTCATTACTCAATTCGGTTCTAAAGAGTCTTTTTGTGTGGCTTTTTTGCGTCCAGTGAGGCGCAAGCACATGCGTGCTCGTATTAGGGCATGGTCGGAGTCCAAGCAGATACTCCAGAATGAGCGACAATCTTCTATCGACCCTTTCGAACTATGACTGATGGCAATATGGTCTATTTGAGTCCATCGTTGGTTTGGTGCAGGGGGTCGCCATGTTAGACGATGTCTCTCCTTATGCTCAAAATTTGTGTTTGCTAAAAATAAACGATTGTCTGAACACAGTCGCAGTAGACGATCACCATTATCTGTTCTCTGTGCCGGAATACTAAAATACCCACCTAAATGTCTTTCTGTTTCGTTTAAGCTACCTACCTGGGCATTAAAGTCGCCTGCTACGAGTACTATGTCTGAACGTTTAGGTTTCTGAAGAAGTTCAGACAGCTTTCTGTAAAATTCATCTCTCACTTCATCCAAACTGCAGTCAGTGGGAGCGTAGGTAGAAACGACGAAAAAGCAACGACGTGTGTCCCTATCCTTTCGAGTTCTTACGGAGCCGTTTAGCCGAACAGCGCATAAACGACTATTAACGGGGATCCACTCTAATAGCGCTTGTTCCGCCCTCATGCTTAGTGCTATGCCTACACCTGCAAGTCCACGAGAACTAGCCATCGGGTCGCCAGATACACGGAGGGTGTATCTCGTCGGCACTCCGTTTTGCCGAGGTGAGGTCAAGTGAATGACCACACTAGGATTCTGTATGCGTGTTTCGGAGACACAGCATACATCAATGGTACGAGATTCTAAGGTTTTAGCCAAGGAAGCCTGCTGACCGATTTGGCATAGTGTGCGTACGTTGAAGGCTCCAATGTGTAGTTTGGAGCGAGGTTTCAGTAGACATGGGACAGTGTTTTGAGCACTAGAATCGCTGGCCATAATGACACTTGAGGAGGAAACCAAAGGAGGAAGCTTAGATTTGAAAGTCGATGTAAGAGGAATAATAGGAATTGAAGAGGTAGGTTGATTATGAATACAGTAGTCTTGAGTGCTGTTAGAGGTATGAGGGCGGTTATCACTTCCCGGTTGCCCACACCGTGGAAGGGTTCTGTTGGAAGTGCCTGAAAAGGAAATTGGATTAGGGGTGGTCTTAGTGACCTGAGAGCGTGACCGAAGTACCCAAGGGACAGCTGCTTGAGGTCGGTCACACACGACCTTTTTATGAGTAATTTTTGTATTAGCTCCGTACTTGTTGAGACCTTACAGCCGGAGACGGATACCTGTGGGATAAGGCGAGGTGTGCATTTTTAGGGTCGACCTTTTCTAACCCCACCCTCCTTTTGGGAAGGCAGCATCGCTGTTATACTGGTTGTCTGAAGGAAACACCTTACTGCTGTCACACCTCTGTGCAGTCAGCAGTACGACTTCGCCTTCGGATCTTGGTTTTGTTGCTTTTAGTCCTACCGCTCTTCAACCGACCTGTCTGGCATGGTAGGACCTTGAGGAACGGTTGTTCCAGCCAGTATAGCTCAGTTGCTTCATCACGATGGGCAAGCCCGACCACCACGTCAAGGTAGCAACAACGGTCAGGTCCCGGTTGCGAAGTGGTGGATGTGCTTAATTCTCATTCAAATGATCAATAAATGAAAGTTTCAGTTATTTTACTATGATAGAGACCAGGCGCGTGTTTTGTAGTTTTTCGTTGAAACTTGTTTGACCTGTAACGTAAAAAAGATGGTTTAAACTCATCTATTAACCAGATCTTTTGACCTAAATTTCATCATCATATTGATGATATCAGTGTTAATTTCTCTTCAGTATTTAATTTTACTTGTATTTTGGAAATTCTGTACTTTTCTCATGTATTTGCGATTGTGAAGGTCCTTGAAGAATTAACCATTGTTTTGAACCGAGCAACATATGATACAAGTCGCTTAATCATGATTTCTGGTACAGGAACTGTGTTTAGCTCCGGAATAGACTTGACTACCATTACGGGCGATCTGTTAAGAAGTGCATTTATTGGTTCATCTTCATGTGATTCATCTCGCAGTTCATCCTCAAGTTCAGCCAATGTATTCGCTTCACGTAATTCAAATCATCATAAAATTGGAGCTGATAATTCCAAATCACATCATTCTGATAATACAAATTGTTCATTTTCTCAACCTAACTATGAATCAAATTTAAATTCATCGTCTCATAGAAATGCAAATAGAGTCCATTCATTTTTCTGCTCACCAAATCCTACAAATGTTGGACGTCTAGCGGCAGCTTTAAGGTCATTCTTACTGGCGTTAGTTTCATTTCCTAAACCTGTTGTAGTCGGTGTAAATGGTCCAGCATTAGGACTGGCTGTTGCTATATTACCTTTGTGTGACATTGTTTACATAAGTGATTCAGCTACATTTTATATGCCATATACTCGACTTGGTCAAATTCCTGAAGGAGCATCAACTTACACTTTAAACAGTCTTGTTGGTATGCCTTTGGTAAGTTGTATGAAATATTTATCTTTCATGTGTATCATATTTTGATCTTATTATTCATTTCACCAAGTTCTGTTATCTTAATATAAGATATATGAAATGACTTATTGGAGTGTAATGAAAAAAACTGACAAAATAGTCGCAAATTTGCATTATGTTGTTACTATTTGCATTAGGCAGTGACTAAATCATTATCGATCAGAACAGCGAGTCTGTAGGAAATCTTCTGTTTTAGTTAGTGATAAAAGAACGACGTGTTAATGCAATTTGCCAAGTCCATTGATCGTCATATGAACTCTTATATGACGAATTTTTGAACCAAAATGAATTTCAGTATTTGATATTTGTTTGTTCAGAACGAAATAAATGTTATAAACTAATTCATTGTACCAGTGTTTGAGTCTTGTTTCTGTTGTTATGGTTGTCGACCGACTCCCTAAGTTGAAGTAAGCGAAACAGGGCTTAATCTATAACTCACTTATTAGAAGTGAAGTGTATTAGTCATTAATCCATAGTATAATTAAAATTCAGACAGTCTACAAAATAATAACATTATTTTCAACATTTATTTTGTTTTAATTCCGTGGTAACTGGTTTTATTTTTTTGTTTCGGTTCGCTTTCCGAATTTTTTTTAAAAACATCCGGACTCCAGATATTTCGTTTATTCATATCAAATATTTCTCTTTATAAAAATTATTGTACAGGCAAACGAACTATTATTAGCAGGTCGTAAATTGTCCGCACGTGAAGCTTTACAACGAGGTTTAGCTTCTGATCTTTTGTTCCCCAAAAGTTTTAAACAAGAATTACTTCTCCGTTGTCGAAAATTAGCAGAAAATTCGTGTATGGTGGGTATCTTTGTACTTGTTATTATTGATTTATTTATCTATTCCTTGATTTCTAGTTGTTTAAATATTTACTACCTTAAAAATGATGTTATGAATTTATTTTCCCACTTTTTTATATATCACTTCACCAACCTAATGTAGTTTTTATTTGAATGTTTATTATTTGTTCTCAAATTTCATCTCATGGGATTTCGTCAACACGTCATTGTGTTTTCCGATAGTTAAGCGCCTGGCGCGAAACTGATAGGTCCTGGGTTCGAATCCCGCGGGGTGCGGGATCTTGGATGCGCACTGCTGAGGAGTCCCATACTAGGACGAAACGGCCGTCCAGTGCTTCCAGGTTTTCCATGGTGGTCTAGCTTCAATGGATTCATGATTTCAACTATTGAAATTACCAATTCTCCACAAAACCCATTCTAGAAATAGATATATAACAGAGACTTACTGGTTTCACATACAAATAATAAGGGAAAATTTTTAGAAGACGATTGCTAACTAGAATACCAAGCTATAACGTACAGTAATTCTTAACTATGAAGTTTAATAATTATCGTTTAAATGTCTTTTTTACGGAAACATTACTCTCAGTCTAACGTCTCGATAGTTCTTTTGATTGAACCATGTTTGATGACGTGTCACATTACATACTGCTTTAATGTGTTTTTAACTTTCGTTAAAAAAAGGGACAATGGAAAATCTGACAAGCAAATGAGTATGTGTAGAATGTTGTGGAATTATCAAACAATGTAGAGTTCTCACTTTTAATACTATCCGTTCGTAATTAGTTAGTTAATATTAACCAAAACTATTCAATACGAAATATGGATTACATATTTTCAGTCTTTCTGATTTTAATAGTTGAATTTATGAGTCGATCTAAGCTAGAACACCATTGAAAACCTAAAAGCACTGAACGGCCGTTTTGTCCTAGTATCGGATTCCTCAAGAGTGCGCATCCACGATCTCGCGTGCGGGATCTAAGACTACTAAACTTAGATCGACTCATAAATTAAATTATTAGAATTACTACGATCACCATAAATCTCCATTCTAACTTTGCTTTTGATCTGTAAGAATTATCATAATGACTTACGGTGCTCACAGTAATTCATCTTATTTCGTTTAACTCCCAATTTTCAGCTATTACAACATGCTAATCGTTATGTTTGTTCTAGGCTGTTTGTTTTCTCAGTTTTAGATTTGCTGTCTCTAAAAATTCTTGGAAGTAGTAATCCTCTAGAAACTTGTTTGAATTTCGGGGCAGATGTCAGTTTCACAACCTTTACAGCTACTCCAAAATAAAGAAAATGAATAACCTATTTGGGAAACAAGCAAACTAATCGTTATATTCGCAACAAACTTTCTTCATATCCGTCTTATTTCAACCTATCTCACAGTTCTCTTACATTCACTTCTGATTTCTGTCTCATTTAGAAACGTATTTCTATTTGTTGCTTTGACCTGTTTAAATAGCCTTGATATATCAAGTAATTGTTTGAAGAAAGCCGTCTCTCAATACAACGTAATCTATGTATTGTAAGATCACATTTGATATTCCAACCTCCTTCCTTGATCCTTTGTACCTTGATATAAATTGCACAACAATAAGGTTTAGTTAAGATTGTCTGTTCATAATTTCTGTTCTTGACATACAGATACGCATGTTTAAAATAGACATCCATTCGGAGTACTGTGATTTCGTTCTCTATCTGTTAATTTGGAATGCACGTCACACGAATTTCATTTCAGACTGTGGTATCAGATTCTATCCTCTCTAGCATCTGCGTTGCAATTAGCTTAAGAGGCAAGGAAATACTAGTTGACTGCATCTATCTCGATAGTCATCTGTGCACAGTTTAATCATAAGAATAGGTGATGGAAAATCCTCTATTCTTGTTATTATCAGCATGGGGGTTGTAGAGATTGCTAATATTTAGATTGAGATTATGAACCAATTGACTACCATTGAAAACCTAAAAGCACTAAATGACTGTTTTGTCCCGGTATGGGACTCCTCAGTAGTGTGCATCCACGAATCCGCACACAGGATTTGAACCCAGGACCTTCGGTCTCGTGCGCGAGCACCTAACATCTAGACCACTAATCTGGCATCCGACGGTGTTAATGTCTAACTTCAACTAATCCATGATATTTTGCATCAATCTTCCATTGTCTGAGGTAGATACCTATCTCTACCCGACACAGATTAGCTCCACTGGTCACGGCTTCCCACTAGAACTCCGAGAATTCTCTCACGAAGCTAGTCACTGGTGAGCACATGGTATTCTCGTTATATTCGTTTACGCTGTTATGTATTTTAATCTAGATAAATCAAAAAGCAAGTTCGATGATCAACCGAATAAGATTTATGAAGAGCGTTCAGCAGATATTATTTTGCTTGCTGGGGACTTGTTGATCGCAGCTTATATAACGACAATCGCTTTCTCCAGGCTTTCGCAGATCACAATCTATTTTTCACTAGAATTAACTTACAGGACACTTATCACTGGTGTGGTTTATGAAGTCCACCTAGAATTCAAACCTGTACTCGTGTACCTCATATTACACTCAATCACCGATATCATGTATTTGTGCAGGTCCTCCAAATCATGTATACGTATAGGTTGTGGTTGCACTTTGATATGTGCGCATGTTTTCTTACTTTTTAATCGTCCATATTCATTATCTTAACAGAAGTAGTATGAATAAATTATCTGCATCTACTGTTGCAACCAATTATCAAGCTATATTAACTTTAAGTAGAGGTACCAGTCTACCAACAGATCTAGACATTCATATACTGCTACTACATGACTCTATAAAGGTGCTGAATTTATCTTCACGCGGTTTCATGTTCTAACCGTTGATTGATTTCGAAAACATGCAAGTGAAGCAGCGTTCATAAAAACGTTTCCAGTAACAACATCAGGCAAATAATTGTAAAATTTGTGATGTATGTTATTCATAGAGCTTAGACCATCACCCAATTAATATCACCTCGAACACTGTCCTTTGTCTTCGGGATATTCGAAGTATGTACGTCAGCAGCTTCTATACCCCTAACACTTGTTCTTGATGTTTAGGTGGGATAAAAAATATCAAGAAAAAACAGCTTATAACATGGCTCAGCAAAATAAAGGATAGTTTTTTTGCTTTTAATAAATATTAAATATTTCAATGGTTAAGATCATGAGTCAGTTGAAGCTAGACCACCATGGAAAACCTGCTGCACTGCTGAGGAGTCCCATAATAGGACGAAACTTCCGTCCAGTGCCTCCAGGTTTCCCATGGTGGTCTAGCTTCAATTGACTCATGATCTTAACCATTGAAATTACTACAATCTCCACAAAACCCCTTCTGATAATTAAAAAATATATTTTAAGGTAACTAAGTTTGGTTGTATTTGTGTTTGATCTTTGTCGTTTGTACAATTTTTCCGATTTATGTATTTGAGCGGTGAAAGAACAACGCCCCTAGCTACGATCTTTTAGTGCTTTAATTCTAGTATTTATTGTTTTTACTCTCATTTTCTCAAGAGACTATCAAATTTTTTGTGACGGTTCACTTGATGCAGTTTTTTACACTGTGAACGAAAAATAAATGAATCCATGATCTAGTAATTTCTAGAAGTTTAGCGATAGTCCTTTGAAGTCATCGTACTAAACTTTCACATGGTTGTGTATCCAGTCAGTAAAACATTTTTTGTGAAATTTCTCAAAGAAGGTTTTATGAGTTAGAATTTGGATCTCGATAGAACAATGAGAAGACGGAGTTGATCTTCTCATTGTTCTATCGAAATTTATAAAAGGGACTAATTGCTTTAGAATTTGGATCGTTAAAAGAACTTCATGAAACACTAGAATAATGTAGTAGACTAATTATTGCGCACGAAATTAGATTTCCGTTTTCGAAGCTCTCCGGTAAAATTATTTCAAGAAAACAACAGAAGCTACAGTTAAGAAGAATAAATTTATGTGAGAAATATATGACACAAAAAGTAAATATGATCAGATATCATATGAAATTTGAACAATTGGAGGAAATGAGCTTTATTAAAAACTCATTCACCATTCAGGTTAAACATCTAGTTTTGTTTTGCCAGGAACTGTTAAAAATGTTTTGTGTTCACCTTAATCTTTCTTATTATAAACTTAATTTAATTGTGATTTCTTTATATAAAAATTGAATTGGTCGATTTTCTCTCTTTATCAATTATTAGTCATTGGAAATCACCAAATGTATGATGAAAATGCAACATCGTGAACGTATTGAATATGTGATTAATGCCGAATGTAAAAAACTATTAGAATGTTGGCAAACTTCAGAATTTCGTTGTACAGCTATGGAGTTCATTTTAAATGAAATGGATGATTTTGTGTAAATATACTGTCTTGTCCTGCTTTTCCGTATTACATTATCTCATATATATCACGATAAATTGTTATTGTTACTAAAATAATTATTGTCATCGTCATAAATTATTATTATATGTTAATATAACGTTTTATACAATAAAATTTATGCAATCATACACACTAGTGTTATTCCCGTGTATGACATTCCATATTCTCTCGTTTTTATATAATCATACATAACATGTATCAGTTTTATATAATCATTATTATAATAGAACCATATATGTATATTTTTGTTTGGTCTTTCACATTTCCTGCTTTTACGTTCTACTTTGTTTTCAAAACAGTAGTTCACTTTTCGAACTATAATCCCGTTCACGTATACTTTCTGTTTATCTTGCCATTCTATCCCTTTTAAATTATTGATGATTTTAATGACTGTAAAATTTATATTTCTCTTCGTGTATGTATCTGGACTTGTACATATTTGTGTACTTCATCTTCCACTAATGTCGTTGAAATGCATGTTCATATATATAGTGCCTAGTCTGTTAATAATGATTTTATTTTTTCTTTCCGGTAACTACTGTCACAGTTTACAGTTGTATCATTTCCGTTTGGCTAATTTTTCTTCATCAATCTATCTTATTTCATTTTGGAATGTCAACTTGTACTCATTATTACTATTATTATAATTGCTGTTACTTTTTTAATCAGTCAATGTTCTACAAACTCTACACCTTTTGACAATCCATTCATTATTTGATGTTAAACACAAAAAAGCAGCTCATGTTTTTTTCGTATCTGTGTACATTTTGTTTATTCGCATGTAAAACGAAAAAAATATACTGTAGTTTACTTCCTTCCATTATTCCTTTTTTTACAAAAGAAAACTATATTTTTTAAAAGAGGAATATTCATCCAGTTTGTCATAACTTTTCGTGCCATTTCTTAATTTTCAGGATTTCAATGTGTTTTTTTAAATTGTAGAATAATTGGTTAGTTGGATGGGTAGAATCAATTTTCTGGCATTTTATCGATTATTGTCGTTGTTACTGTTGGTCTTATCGAAGACTCCTGTAAAAAAAATAAATTTCTACCGTACATGTGAAGAGTTTTTTTTTTATCGTTGTTTCTCTTACTCCATTTATCGTGATCGATTTATTCGAACAAATAAACTGCTAATCGTCATAGTGATATAGATCAATGATTAATACTACCTTTGCAATTATAGGAATACTTCTTTAAGATTGTATTTAATGTATATTGATTTCGATGTGAATGGAATGATTTTATACTGAAGCTGTTCATGGGATTTCAATGGGTAAACAAACTGATGATTGCTTACTTATACCTGCTACCCCACTTGGGACATAAGTAACTAACCAGGAATCTCCAAGCAACTCTATTCTGGACTCTCCTCCCCTTTTGTTGTCGAGAGGTATTTACGGTCTTTTTATCTACCTCCGAATTCCAGCTTCATGTTTCCTTTGATTTGCCTCTTTTTAACCTTAAGGAGAACTAAGTTATCCGCAATATCCAAATCATCCAGCAACACCTGAAGTGTCTACCGTATTGCATGCTTCTCTTAAGCTGTGAAAGTCTTCATAATCTAATCAACAACCTTAAGAAAGAGGAAAGGCGGAAGCGGGAGTGTTGTCTGACACCAGTCTTCACTTGGAATTCATCTGTGAGGTGCCTCCATACATGACTTTGTAATGAAGTCCGTCGTAGGAGCTCCGTATGATGGTTATGATGTCCACAGGCACTATAGTGTCAAGGAAGATTCCACAAGTCTTTCCAGTTTGAGCTGTCACATGCTATCTCATAATCAAGGTAGTTGTTGTATGGCGATAAATTTCATTGGGCTGATTGTTCAGCAATGATGTGTTTTACCGCAATTTGCTCGGTAAATTTTATATCCTCACGAAATCCGATTTGTTGATTTGAGAGTTTGGTGTCTACTGAAACTTTCGTTTGGTCAAGTAACACCCTGTTGACAACTTTGCCTGGAACTGACAGTAGTATGATGTCACTTACTAAGATCTTCCTTCAATGTTTTGGTGAGGTATCACACTTGAACTTGTCCTCTCGTTCAGAGCTTTCTGAACAGAACATGTTACAATTGCCTCTATACTTGACTTCAGTGCTTCTGCTGCTATGTTTTCTGGTCCCTAAACTTTGCCATTCTTGATTTGTCTGATGGCATTGATGTTTTTATTTCTGGTACAGTAACATTTGTAGGGAGGCCTTTGTGTGGTGGGTTGAACGGGACTGGTCTATTCAGGAACTGTTTAAAGTGCTCTACTAATCTGATCTGCTTCTCTCTAACCTCAGTGACTGATTTTTCTTGGTTGTATCATATGGTTGCTTGACATATCCCTTCCTTCCAGTTTATTTTGTTGTAGTTGCTAGGTCTTTTACATATTTCAACTTGGTGCTTTTCCTCACTCGATTGTTGTTTTCTTGACCCACATTTCCTAAATCTTCTCCAAACTGTCTACAGAGGTCCGTTGTTTATTCTGGTGCTTCTTGAGATCCAGGATGTGGGATGTTGAATTTACTGTTTTTAATTTCTTTCTGGTTGTTCTCGATAGAGGTTTCGTCATTTAAGATGATCTTGTAAGGTTCGAAACTAATTGCTGAGGTCTATGTTCAACTCTCGGAACTTGTTAGCGTCTTGAAGGAACGCTGATTTAAGCATTTTTGGTTCTGCTTGTCTAAATATTCAATGCTTTCTTAGATTCAGTTTGAATTTATTCATCGCCAGGTGAAGACTATCTACAAGGACAGAGTTTAATGGGTTATTTCTGTATTATTTCTTTATAGTTTGCATTGCCAATCCTACACCCAAGTATCTTTGAACCGACAGTAGCTCTTGAAGGACTTCAAATGGAATTAACCTGATGATAGCTACGATCCACTTTCGTAAACTTGATAATTTAGTGTTTTGGAGCGGAGTTTTTCTACACAAATGACTAATTTATTGGTAAATTTTTTAGTGGTAAACTGTGATTTATAGGATCGATTATGTCAGGACTGAGGTATTCATTAATGATGGTATATGATCTAATGCATTCCACCTCACTAAAGTTTTCACCATGAAACTCGAACGTTTTAGGGTAGAACAGGTGTAAGTGGGTATTTCTAAGTAGCCTTAAACGGGTGAGACTAATTTATGAACGAGTCAATCAGAAGCGTTTGAGAAATTTTAAAGTCACAGTGCCAATTTTAGTACCTGACGCTCACGTACGATCGGTTTACAGCTGGTTTTAGAGAAGACATAATTGAGCGGCTACAACAAATGGGACTACTAAGAAGTTCCTTTATTTGTGATTGTGGATCATGTGCAGACTACTGTGATGATGATGTCTTTCGATGTAATATATGTTGGCAGAATAAGTCTGCCAGAAGAAGACTTTTTTTTCGCTCGATCCAGATTGAGACTAAGGTAAATTATGATAATTGTTACAAAGTGGATAATAAAAGCACCAGTAAAACTGTCTTCAACATTTTCAGATCTTACTGAAGATTCACAGGTCCTTGGAACATACGACAGGTCATCTCAAAAGGAACGCTTCTAACGGGTTAGAAACCGACAGGATACAACGATAATACCAATTATGTGTGCAGCCGGGTACTACAATATATACGGGTGATTGGAGAGCGTACCGCTGCATTCATAGACTTGGATATGTGCATCGTGTTATTGTCCACAAGCGGCAAAATGTTCTTGTTTAGTCTCTTCTCCATTCTTGTGTACTAAAGATTTTTAATAGTGTATTATTTATGAGATATATAATTTAGATATATTCAGAAATAATATAACATAATAATTATGAAATCTATATGTTTATGTGCTTCTGGTGATTCATCAATTAAGTTTGGGTTTTGTACGTTTATCCGTAACAATGTTTCGAACTGCTCTATCACAGACAAGAATTTACTAACTCAAACAAGAAAATTTCATAGCTTGGCTACCTCCTAAAGAGTTATACCAAAAGCGTTTATATGGCTAATTAAGTCAGACCAGAAATTCCATTCACATGATAAATCGATTATCCAATAACTGAAAAGTTTTGTCACATTCGCTTGTGATAACGACTTATCATAAGAATATACCTAATTACCTTTAACTTTCTAACCAATTAAATGTTTAAAAGAAATTGTTAGTTAACTGTGCTATGACAACCATATACTGTACATTGGGTGTCTGACCGTTACCACTTCTCACTAATAAATTATATTTAACATAAGTATATAAGTAGGGTTAATTAATAATAATAGTTATAAATGGAAATCACGAACCTAAGTTAGACAACAATTGGAAGCCCACACTTAATAATTTATTTGATTATGACAAGGCAGATTGTGACAGCGAGATAGATAAAATAATTTTTATATTAAATATTGGAGAGAGAGATTAGGATCCACCTCTGACGTACAATATCAATTGAAATATGTTCAGTGAAAGTTAGTGATATAACTTTGACCGAATAGGGGAGTTTTGTTCACTCCACATCTTATAAGACTTAATATACTTCATTGTTGGCTATTATTCCTTTTTTTCGAACTATATTATTTATGTTTAGCATTCGCTACTTTAGATAGTATTATTTTAACTTCGTTTTTCTCCATCTAGTTGATGTGGAGCTTGAACACACATCTGCGGCAAGTCCCTTTCATTTACAACTTCTACGCTGTTAACGGTTAACGTATAAAAGTACTATGAATCTATAACTATGAGACAGCTTGACTTGTTAAATAAAAGTGTTGCACATTCACTTGTTTGTAAAAAAATGATTGATATTTTATCAATAATACGTCATTAAATTTTAGGTAGTGAAACAGTGATTCACCAACTTATTTCTAAAGGTTGTTGTATAGATTAATTGAAAATAAACAAATTTCGTAGAAACTTTTATTGGTCTGCTTATATTGGGACCATATAGGTGTGTACTGATAGCAAAATTAATGTTATCGCTACATAGAAAAGCTAGGTAGCAAATCGTTGCAAAGTTTACGATCAAAAGTCACTGTAATGTTTAACCAGCTAAAAGGTTCTTGTCAATAGTTGAAACAAATGTTGGCTAATGACATATTCAGTAGTGGAGAAACAGTTTTATAAAGTGAAATATTCAGAATTATTTATGCATTTTGTCTTGTGGCGACATTAGCTGGGTGATTAAAGACAACCATGGGGCATTAGACAGATTTTACACGTGATTTTAGAATTTCTTACTAGTATCAGCCCACAACCCCAGCATGAGATCCAACTCAGAAACTTCAGATATTCCAATAAACAAGATATTTTAAAGCTATGGAATTGAATTCTTGTGGCCTATATTTTTGATTTCACCAATATGTGACGTATCTCGATGATCATCTAGTATCAACAGTGAGTAAATAACCGTCTGATTTTCGACTTTCCTGACTTCTCATTAGAATATCGAGAAATCTATTTCGAAGCTAGACACTAGCGACCATTCTAAGAACTATAGGGTGAATACACTTTCAAGGGTAAATCATATTTTATAAAGTGAGTATATATTAGTCTTATGTTAAGTAATATAAACATGTTGTATGACGATGAAATCAGAAATCCTAATGTGATAAAATCTGAAAAAATATTGATCGGACAAGTGTATAATATTCAGTTATCTCAATAAGCTCTGTAAATTTATTTCAATCAAATCATTTTTCACAGTTCAAATTCTAAAAAATAAAATTTAAATTGAAAAATCTAAATAAATTTTTTTTAAAGCTAAGCACCGTGCTCGTTTAATTTTATCAGAACTCCACTGCATCCTGAATAGTATTCATCAATAATTGATATCAGTAAAAATATACTAGTAAAAACCACTGGATGAACTTTCCTTACTAATGTCATGACTGGTCGTCAATTTTTGTAACTGAGTCGCTTATTACTTATACTTTTCAAACGAGGAACCACTGAAATTCCTTTAACGCGAAGTAAGAACTCCAAGAGTGGTACAAGTGGAGATTCACCAAGCCCCAAACAAGACGACCGTCGTCGAAAATACACATTTAAATACTGATTGTTCATCCATTTTGATTATTGATTTGGATAAAATCACATATGAAAAATA